CCGCCCGGCCCGGCCCGCTCGCTCCCCTCGACACCCCTTCCTTCCTTCCTTCCTTCCTTCCTTCCCCCTACCTGAGGACCTCATCCAGGGGTATATCCGGAAATTACTCTCTGCCTGGCTGTGCAGGTTGCCTTCCTCCGCCTTCTCACAGCTGGCTTTGGTTAGGTCACTGCAGAGGACGGGAATGTTCTGGTCAAAGGAGGAGCAGTGGAGGTTGTAGGCGTCTGAGCCCCCCAGGCTGTATCCGGAGGAGAAGGGGCTCTGGTATAGGGTGCTGTTCACATTGTACAAGCCGGGCATGGAGGAGGCGAAGGCGCTAGCGCCGGGTCCATAGCCGCCTCGCTGGGAGTTGGTAGCGAAGGAGCAGGACGTAGGCTCTGCATTTTGGAAGAGCGAAGCGGCCCCCGTCGTATATTTGCTAAAAAGAGCGTTCACATAATACGAAGAACTCATAATTTTGACCGGTGATTTGTTGTCCGGTAGGCTTCGGTGTCGGTTTTACGAGGTAGCGTGATATATGATAACATTACACCCCCAGATTTACACCAAACCCCATTTTCTTTTGGACTGAGCTGCCTCCGCCACGTGACCAGTCACATGACCCCGTCCTCCAATCTCCTCCCGCATCACAGGTGGTATAGATCAGGGTGGCTCGCCAGAGCCTGGAATGGCAAGCGGGGGAAGAAGAAGAAGAAGAAGAAGAAGAGGCGCCCGGCGGAGGGCAGCCCGAGGGGGGGGGAGGAAGGGGGGCTGCTTTTCCCTCCCTCTCCCTGGGGGTCTTGGGGGCGGGGGGCCACGCTCTTCTGCTTCTGCGGCGGCGGCGGGCTTTCCTCTCTCGGTCTGCAGCAGTTCTGTCCCCTGCGCAATTCAGGTGGCACCGCAGCTCCAAGGCTGCAGCTCCCCGCCACCTTCCAGCTTATGCCCCCCCGCGCGCTTGTTTCCCTCATTTCTTCTGGTTTGCTGCTTAAAAACAGGGGGGGGGGGGGGGGAAGGAAAAGGTGACTACCCCCCACCCCCCAAAAAAGACCCTCCTGTCCATAAACATATCCCGGTGCAGTCAACTAAAACCACGGGATACACATTAAAAAAAGAGGCGGCAGCAAAAACGGTTCAGTCAATCATGCATGAATTTATTCCCCTCCCTCCCTCCCTCCCCATCCATATGCTTTCTTTCCACCCTTTTTTCTCTCTCTCTCTCTCTCTCTCTCTCTCTCTCTCTCTCTCTCCCCCTGCGGGAAAGGAAATAGTGAAATATTTATGCGGGAGGTTTCCTAATTTGCTAACAGATTTATTAAGATACTGACATAATGCATTCGCCTAATCTCTTTGGGCGAGATGAATGAAGCTTTAGGGAAGCCCTCTCGCTTCTATCTCTCACTGCACACCGCTCTGCCTCGGAACCAGGGAGCCAAGGACGTGGAGCCCATTCTCGCCATCTCAGGGCAGGAACCTGGGGAGGGAACTGGGTTTACTGCAATTGTCCCAAGGATGCGGCTGGTGAACCTGAGCGCGTCTGCGGTCTCCTACGGCACCATAATTTCACCTCTCCACCAGCACCCACACATATACATACATACATACATATATAAATGAAAGCCAGTAGTAGAGGGATTTTCAGCACCTTTACAAAGGAGCCTGAAGAAGGACTGGAGGTCCCTTTTGGGTCCCTGCTGGCAAAAAGCACCTCTGTGCTGGCAGCGAAGACTCCCCCCTCCCCCCGGTTCCCCTCGCGCCCCTCAGGCTCCTAAATTTCCCCAGCTCCAGTTCCCCCTCCACAATAAGGCTGCTTCCCATTGAGGATGTTGCATCCGACCCTTCCTTTAAACGGATCGTAAAAGCAGTTTCCTTCCTTCAGACGGGGAGTTTGGTAAAGCCAACTTTTACGGCCCCTGCTCTATTGCACATCATAAACTGGAAGGAGGACAATGCGATTGCCCCGGAAATTCTCCCTCTTGAATTATAGAGTTTGGTGTCCTGTGTGTACAAAGCAGTTCCCACCAGTTAAAATGGTCCCTGGAGCGATTTCGCACGGACCCTTGAGAAGGTACTTTTTGGTGACCCATTGAGACGGGCTGGGTGAGGAGGGTGCCTGCCGATCCCAGGGCGAGGGGGCTGTCCGGGGGTCCACCTTGCCAAGGGGTGGCAGCCCCGCCACTTAAGGGGGGGGGGGGGGGAGAGAGAGATAGAGAGAGTGTGTGTCTCAGGTCCCTTCCGGCAATTGAAGGGCGTTGCTGGAAGTCGACCTCGAGGTCTGCGCGAAGGGCCATTTCTGGACACACAAGCTGGCAGGACCCCGGGAACCCTCCTGGTTTCCTTTCTGCGGGATTGACAAACCCCATGAACAACGCGAGGTGGTGGTGGTGGAAATCCCCTCCCCAGGACTCCTAATTTTTAAAAAATAAAAATCTCCTGAGAGAAATGACAGAGGGAGAAGGAAGGCGAAGCAAAACCTGCCGAGCAGGCGAGATCAAAGAGGCGGAATTATCAGACCCATAAATTGCTCCTCTGGTGACACCAGAGCAAGAAGCAAGAAGAGAGCAACAGCCAGCAGAACCGCCAGTCTAGACTTGAGTATTGATAAGGCACGACAGGATTTTGTAGATGAGTCTTGGAAGGGCACCGTGAAGTGCAAACGCCTCCCTAGGCCTGAGGATCAGGGCGCACGGCGGCCCCCAAACCTGTTTGTTAGCCGTATTATTTCCACCACCACCACGCCGCCGGCTCCTGACTACATTTCCCTAAACCCCTCTCTTGGAAATGTTAGGGGTATTTCGCACAAACATTCTGCTGCACGAAGGAGACTCCCGGGGAAATGCAGGCGAGGACTCCCTTCCAAGAAGCCCTCCAGGAATTTCCTTCCCCGCTGGGACCCATCCGACGCAGGCTCCGAGCACATTCGTGCAAGGGACTCGATCCAGGCTAAGCTTACCCGGGAATGACTCAAGACTGTAGAAGTGCCCTTCAGTCAGAAGGAGCCCCCCCCCCCCATTTTGGCACAGAATTCTTTAGAATCCAGACTGGCAGACACGGATCCGTTTGCTGCCGCTTTCTCCCCGTAAACCTTGCTGGGGGACGGAGGCGACTCCTGCCAGACAACAAAATGTTGTCCAGCAATCTGGGATCTTTATGAAGGTGGGATCCGGCCTCTTATTAGGCTGCTTCATTCTTTGTCTGATTTGGGGCTCTCCGATAAAAAGTGAACGCTCGATTTTCTATTTCTGTGAGGGTAACATCACCGAGCCCTATTGAACTGAAAGCCCCCGTTCGTTAGCAAGAAATATACTAGAACCCTATTGTTGTGAGATACCCTCGTTTCCATCTGCTGCTGGCGACGTAAATACTTCTACATTCTCCCCGTCCTTTCGAATCAAATATTTTGGGATCTTTTCCTTCTGTTTCAATCCCTGTTGCAAATAAATAAATAAATCCATTTCACTTTCAGAAGATCCCAGAGTTTTCCTTTTGTTGACGTGATTTCCTTGCCCCCCCCCCCGCATATTTTTTTCGGCATGTCTATGTTACATACACAGTGGCGCCCTTTAAGTGCCCGCTTTCTGACAAACACCAGTTCTTTTACTCTACCTCGGTGATGCAGTTAGGGATACATACAGTAGGTAACAATGCGCCGAGCCAACAAACCCAGAAGCGAAGGGTTTTTTTAAAAAAAGTTTTATTATTAAATCGTAAAGAAATAGCAGGAAGCTTTCCAGAATGGATTTGCGCAGGCATGTTGTTCCTGTGGTGTATCAGACCGCTAGCATCTGCATCATATAATTAAAACGGGTCCCACAGAGGCGAAATTACTTGGGAAACCAGCGGCGCCCTTAACTGCATCACAAACATCTGCTGAAGAATTTCAGTGGCCGGTAAATAATTTTCAAATTAAAATGTGCAACCTGGCCGCTTTTATCAGCATTTCTTTGTCTTCTTCTTTTTAAAGTATGATTTGACTCGATGCAGGATGAAATCGCTTCAAGAGATTCATATACTCCACAAGGGAACACCGTTAAAGGGAGCGAGTAATTTGGGTTTCCCTGTGGTATGTTGCCTCCTGCGTTGTGGATTGTTCTTACTGACCCGGAATTTTGTTACAGCGGTTAAAGCGGCCACCTGGTTTCGAACCATGTAGGAATGGCGTCTAGAATCTTCAATATGGCCATCTGAAGGACTGTTAGGCTTCCGCGTCCCTAGTTAGAACATTACTCAAGTAACCACAGTAAAGGGTAAACCGTTTATTTGGCCACGAATGGGTTAATGTAAGTGATTAAATTTTGTGGATATGTGTAGATAGCTATCGATACGCATATAAATGCATTCTCATATTATTGTGCATATGTATTAAATGGCACGTGGTCGGGTTTTTTTAAACCAGAGCCTTGAACATACTTCCGTTTCCTTGTATTTTACACTTATACCCCATAAAAGTATATATGTACACTATATACACACAGTCTCACATATCAGTCCCGGTCTAAGAAAAAGGGGCTGACTGACCATGATAGGAGATGAACAACAATATACAACCCTTGGAATGTTTGTAAAGAAGATATGGACATATATACATATTTTCACACTGTAGATATACGTGCATACAAGTATGAAAGGGCAAACAAGAGGTTCAGGGTTCATTTGCTTGGCGGGGGACTAACTAATTAAAAATGTCCAGAGCAGCTTTCTTTTAAAACAAATAGGGAGATCTCGGAGTTCTTATTTGCTGGATTTGATGTCAACAAAATGACATTTAAGAAACAAAACAGGAGATTTGGCTTTCATATACATCCACTGAAGACTCGTTCTTTGTTTTAAAATCAGAACAGTAGTACCAAATCTGCCTATGCTCCGAGAAGTCGACATTTTAGACGTGTTTTATCAGTTTCATGGTGGATTAGTCCTTGTTTTCGTGGAACAACAGTGCCATCTGCTGTTCCCTCTTGGTCACTGCAAGCAATAAAATAGGCGCAGGAATCTTTCGAAAGTGCAAACATGCTTGGTATCTGCCACTGCAACTGGTTCAATAATCTGCTTGTGCGATGAAGGAGCAATTACAGAAAAAGTCCCAGCTGCAAATTCATTACAGATAAAGTCCAGCCTACATTTAAGAGGAAAAGGGGATCATAAAAGCGAGCTATTTCCGCACAGCCGCTTTATCTGAAACAGCCAGACAAAACAAAATGAAAGGGCTTTTGTAGAAAATCTTAATTGTGGCTGGACAGTTGTAAACTCATTAAGGGCCGAATTCCAGACAGTTTGCAGACCCGCCATTTATTAGGCACTGCTAGCGCTGATTCTTTGAAGTCCCCACTGTCTGCAACAACAGAGGGCGTCCCAACATCCCAAACCATTGGAACAGGCATCAATTAGAGACTCCCCCCCCCCCTGGCTACACAAGAACTGTTTCGCTTTTTGCTAATTAAACACATCTCACCAGAAAAAAAATCCTGTTGTTTTTTTTAAAACCAAACAGGGGGAGGCCAGAGAAATGCCTGGACATTCGAACTTTTGCAAAGTTCTTGAGATTCTGAAAGTTCTTCTCTCTACCCCTGCAGCATTTTCACCCCATAAACAGTTACAGCCGTCATTTTCTTTTATGGCTGTGCACGGCTCTGAATTTTCCTAACAGCGTCTTGAGCCAAGGCTTGTTAGCGGGAAGTGTGCAGGCTTGTTTTGGCTTTAAAAAGAGACCGGGGCATTCATTCTGCAACAGCGTTTCTGTTTGTTCTCGCGCACAGTTCTGCGGTTCGGGTTGGCGTTCTGGGGCCGCCTCCTCCTCCTCCCGACCGCCAAGCCGGGAGCCTTCCCACTCAACCCAATAAGCCTTTGTATGGCTCGGCAGCTTAAGCCAAACGCTTCGAGGCTTCCGAGGCTTTTGGAAAAGGTCCAGCCCTTCCCCCCTCCCGGCCCGACCTTTTGTTTAAAAAGAACCTCCTTTTCTAGTCTGAATTAAAGCAACGAAAACGCAAAACCACCGCGCTTGTTGTTTGGAGGCGACCCGCTTCCACTATATTTCCAGTACTCTGCATTTATTCGGCCAGGGCGAAGGTGAAAGCAGCTGACGGGTTTTGCCAGGTGAGGGCTTCCTGGGCGAACAGAAGGATGAAATTTCATACTTTGTCGAGTCACTGCTTGCCTTTACTGGAACCAGTTCGGTTTTGTGGGTAAGTATTGCGGATAGGTACTTTTAAAACATTGATCTGGAAAAAGAACCGCCCCTCCCCATTTTCTCTCGCCTCTCACTTTGATGCAGATTACCTGCTACTCTTGGTCCCAATACTGGGCTTCATAACATTATTGGATGTTCTCGGAGTAACACCCTTTATGGTGAGTAAAAGAAGTCAGCCCACCATCTTGTACGGTCAGATCCCGCTCAAATATCTGTCTCCAGGGCAGCAGGATTATCTGGAAGTGAGTCCCATGAAAAGGAGCGGGGCTGACTTTTGAGTAGCTATGTGGAGGATCCAAGTTTAACTCGATGGCTGCATATCTACATGGGCTGAGTACTGGTGGACCAGCGCCCTCTCTTAATAATCTTAATAATCACAAAATATAAAAAAGAATCAATATATACTTTATTTCGCAAAAAAGTTAAATATCATTTGGACACAACTATTTGGTCAGTAGGCCATGAGGTAACTATTGCAAAATATACAGTGTAGCTTCTGCATAAACATAACTTCCAGGATTTTATTTTTTTAATAATTGATACAAATCTACAATAACCAAAGGTAGGTTTTTAGAGCGTATAATTTATTATCAATAAAATTAAATTTCATTACAATAAGAATCAAATTATTTGATTAAACTTAAAAACGTAAACCATAGGTAGTTACCTTTTTCACATATACGTATAGCTCCGATAGCTGAAAACTGCTCACGGGTGCAAAAACAATATTCAGGATAATCTGATTATTAAGGGCTTAATCTTTAATATATAGATTATATATATACAACTGACGAAGACGGTACTATATATTTATAGATATATAGATCATTGTTTTCTGTGCATACTAAGATGACGCTTTCAAGAAAGGGGGAGCTCCTGATGCCTTTTCAAACTCAGATCATTCCCCCCCCCTTTGTTTTTTTAAAATTGGGGGTGGGGTGGGGGGAGTGAGAGGGAGGGAGGGAGAATATTCTTTCCCGTACAATCCAAGGTTAACTGTCTAAAGATACAGAAAAAAGACGTCTTACACTACAGAGCTATACTCTATGCAACTTTTATATTAAACAACCTGAGTTCAAATTGAATTCTAGCTTTCACAATCACGTCTGGTACAGCACCCAAGCACAAAAATTGAGTCACAAATATAATAACCACGATCAAACACAGTGTTCAAGTATTAGAGCAGACCTCTCTCTGCCACGCAAAGAGCAAATAAAATTAACTACTTCGACTAACCTATACAGTCCGTCAAGAGTTGTGCATTAAAAAGGTAGTTTTCTCTTTCTTTCTTTCTTTCTTTCTTTCTTTCTTTCTCTTTCTTTCTTTCTTTCTTTCTTTCTTTCTTTCTTTCTTTCTTTCTTTCTTTCTTTCTTTCTTTCGTGACAGGTAGATTTAAATAAGCCAACAAATCAGCTTTGCACGTTAATAATGCCCCCTTTTCTTTCCTATGATCAGACAATGGGAAAATCGTGGTACCTCATGAATAGCACCGGGGTCCAGCCATCAAGCCTGCGTTGGTGAGGTACATTCAAGGACTGAATTGGCAAGGACAAAAATCAACGTTGAGGCCTGGACACAGTCTCCTGGGGGGGGGGGGTGATGGGGGTTGTGGTTGCGTTGCATGGGAGGAGGAGGAGGAGAAACCCCTCACCCCAGAGAGCATCATTCGTCCTTTGCTCGGTCCTTGTTGATTTTCTTCATTTTCATCCTCCGGTTCTGAAACCAGATTTTCACTTGTCTCTCGGTCAGATTCAGCAGCCTTGCCACTTCATACCGCCGGTCCCTGGTGAGATACATGTTGAAGAGGAATTCTTTCTCCAGCTCCAGCGTTTGGTGCTTGGTGTAAGGGCAGCGCTTTTTCCTGGTGGATCTCGCGTGTAACCAATTCGCAGAGGGGTTATCTGCAGGGAAAGGACGCCAAGAGGTTAGGGGAGAGGAGAAGTCACTCCCAAGCAGCCTGCAATCGTGGCCTCCCCTTGGTGCGCCCTCCTTCCTGCCTGCCTGCCTGCCTTCTCTCCCTCCCTCCCTCCCTCCCTCGCACCCCCCACCTTCCTTTTGAAGCCGATAGGTACCCTGATATTGGTGGTTTACGACGTCCCTTTCATTGGGGCAGACATACACGGTGGGTCAGACACAAGGGACAAAACAGCGAGACACACGGAGAGGTCACACAGAATTACTTGCAGTAAAACACCACTGGCCTCCTCCTCCTCTCTCCTTCATATTGTTTCTCTAGATTGTAATTTTGAAGCCGGCCTTTCCTCCTGCCCCTCCTCCCAGCCGAATCCCTGATTCCTCCCCCACCCCCACCCCCAAGCGTGGAGGGCGACCCCGGAGAAGAGCGTGGCACTGGAAATGTTTCCCGTTTCCCATTCTGACCTTCTCCTGTCCTGTCTCACCCGACCCGAGGAAGGCAGACCTGCCCAGACACCCAGCCCAGCCCTGGCTGGCTTGTGAACCTGATCTGTGGGGCGTTGGACGTTCAGTCCGACACAAGGTGGAGGAGGGGGTGGAAGTAAAAAGATCTCCCACCCCCCACCCCACCCGATTTTGCTTAGGTTCCTTCTAGGTAAGTCATTCGTCACAAAGGGATCAGATTCACATCCAGTGCTCTGTTTGGGCAGAGAGCGAGTTCTTTCTCTCTCCCTCCCCCGCATCTCTCTCAGGGAACCGGCGTTATTGAGGCGCCCTTCTCCTCTCCCCCCTCCCCACCGCCCGTCTCTGGCTCTCTAGCTCCAGCGTGGAGCCAGCCAGCCAGCCGAGCGCGCCAATGCGGGCGCCTGCTGCCCCTTGCCAGGCGGCACCGGCGGGCCGGACTTACTGGGGTCGAGCTGGGGCTTGTCTCCGCCGGCCTCGCTCTCGCCATTGTTTTCCGCGAAGGACCCGTCGTTGCCTTGCTTATCCCTATCAGCTGGAGGAGAACCACAAGCAAAGTCAGTCAGGGAGAGTGCGTGCGTGTCAAAGGTGGTACAGTCACCCCTCCGGGCCGTGAGCGGCTCAGGTTTAATGCCGTAATGCCTGCTGGGGAAAGACAGGGAGGCCGGCACGGGCTCGAGCCACGAACGCATGTACCTGCCGTCGGGCGCTGCCATGGGTGCCTGGTGGTGCACGTACGGGTGGTACACGGCGGCGGCGGCGGGCACATTGCTAGCGCTCGGCGGGTGCACGGCGTTCCAGGAGGCGCCGAAGACGGAGGCTTTCGACTGGAAGCTGCAGGGGGCGAACTCGGGGTGCTCGGCCAGGCTCGCCTGCCGGCCCGGCTGGCCCAGGGGAGCCGCGCCGTAGCGGGACTGCACCAGCTCCTCGCTCTCGTGGAGGAGGAAGGAGTCCACGTAGTAGTTGCTGAGCGCGCCCGAGGAAGACATGGCCTGCCGAGGCCCGCCCGGCCCGCTCCGGTCCGAGGAGAGGCAGGCGGCAGCGCAGGACCCGCGGCAATTACGGCGCGGCAGATTCCATGGACCAACTTGGTCCCGGCGAAGAAGTACAGTCACCTAATAAGTTGAAGGCTGCCTGTCCGCCCATTGGCTGCCGCGCGTCACGTGGCCGGCCAGCAGAACAATAAAGTATAAATCAGTCCGCAGGCTATTAATGGGTCAGTGTTTTCCAGTCATCATTTTTTATAGCAAAGCCATATGTTTTTATGCAAAGGGATAGGCGAGCGGCAGGGCGAAGTTTGTTTTAATTGTGGCCCAGCCAGTTTAAAAGATCAGGGGATTTTTTTTGGGG